TTGAAAGCTGCCTGTTGTCAACTGGCCTTTACGATGACCATAGTATTTTGCACAGGTATCTGATTCTCACTAGATATTTCTATGTTTTGACATTTCTCTGTAAAATTGTAAGATGGTTACACATAGAGAAAAACAAAATCCATTTTTCCTGTTTTATGTTCTTTTAAAACATCAAGAGGTTAACTTTTCCATATCCAGATGCAGAAATGCATTGAGTTGTTGCCATGTGATTTACCAGTTCACTATGTCAGTAAGAAATCTTAGAGTAGCAATCTTTCATCAGTCATAGTAGCTTTAATCAGTTCTAATGCTACATGGAAATCCAAACTGTGTTTTGAAGCCATCATGGTTTTAACTTTATCTGGAGGGACACATTTCTGTAAACCTTGATGCTAAATGTTGCTGTAATTTTGTCACGTTAAATTTGTTGGGCAATCACCTTTAAACCCTTTATTCATCAGAGAGAGCAAAATTAGTGAAAATAAGTTTACTGCTGCAAAAAACACATAAAGATTTATCACTGTAAAACCCCACACTGCAAGCTGCTGTCATGGACCATTTGCAAGAAGTTTCGATATACATTATGTAAATGTATTATGTAAATGTAGTAAGGGAATGGCTAATGCACTAACACCTACTGAATGTCAAAAACTTTGTGTTGTTAAATAAGTGACATTAAGCTCCCTATGCAGTCCCTCTGCCACCTTTCTACAGTCTGAGAATAACATACTGTGTAACTGATGAGGGACTCTTAACTGTAGACATTTCCGCTATCAAAGTCCAATCTGTTGCTATGATTGTGTTGACCTTTTACTCCAGTCAAATGTACAGACATCAAAACCATAACAGGACTAATAAAGATGTTACATAAACAACACCAGCAGATCAGTGTGACTATTGCCAAGTGACTCGACTGAAAATAATAATCAATCATAACAATAACCAGAAAAAAATAGATGTAATATTAGAACTATACTTAAGTTTCACTTATTTATATGGTCAGTACATTTCTGAAGTGCAAGTGCAATAACCAAAGTCCACTACTTCGTAGTTTTCCCTTAGCACTCTATTGTGCAGATATTTTTATATCTAAGGAAAACATCCCAGAAAATTACAACCTTTTTCTTTTATGCTTGTTTGGTACTATATACACTCTTTTTATATTGTCTGTTGTATTTTTATCTTTAATTGAATTTTGCTTTAACGCTTTGTACTCTATATAAGCTACCAGAACCGGAATTTCCCTGAGGGAGAAATCCCAAGGGATAAATAAAAGTGAGTCTTAAGTCTAGGTCTTTCTATCGATTCATGGTATTAATTTGTCAAATATCTTATTTTGATTTTGACTACATTTACAATTAGGTCAACCATAATTAACCCTTCTTAAAATCCTCCTGATATTAAAACATTAATGTCATCTTGTGTTTAATAAATGTCTACATTTTTCAATCTTACTCACATTCTCTTAAAAATGCTAAACCAATTTCTTTTAATGTAATCATGGTGTAATTATAAACTAATGTTAATGCAATGGACTTTGCTATTTTGATTCATTTATTTTCTTCTTACAATAAATGAGGTCAACAGCTGAAAAAAAAAGACATTAAGACATAAACATGCATTATGCCTACAGTTGAAACCAGATAGTAAAGGCTGTATTGTTTTAAAAGATACATAACATTTCTCATTGATTAGTAGGCATCCTCTTCAGAACAATGTTAATCACCAACATGGTGTTGCTTGTCAAATCTGGTGCAAGATCCTTCCATCCTACATGAATCAACATTTACAACAACTCATTGAAGAAAAACATAAGTTACCGGTACTAAATCTAAATTCCCTTTGGGATCAAAAAGCTATTTATGAATTTCATCAGAGGGATAATAATATTGCCTCTTTTTGACGATCCCTTGCAGACTCAGTTAGAAACATTGTACCCAGAGACTAAATGCCCATTTTTATCAGACCTTAAAAGTTTCATCTTTGCTTGATCACCTGATAACTCTGGCCTTTCTGAACAACCAAGAGCTTTCTGTATTACTCAGACTTTTATGCATGATTGTTTTGTCATACCTCAGATTAGTGCACTTTAGATTAGGGGTCTTCAATGTTTTCTAGGCCATGGACCCACAAAATGATGACAAGATGGAGCAGGGACCCCCTAATTATATATATTGTATGAAATTGTGTTATATCAAACTGGTCCTATAGTCACTCTATTACAGATAGAGTAATGTAATTAAAGTAATTTTTTCCCTGGGATTATTAAAGTATATCTGATTCCTGGTTGATGGGACAGGTGTTGTGAATGAAACAGTCCCCAGCTTGAAAGAGCTCCTGTGTGTCGCTGAATGTGTGCGTTGATGACTGAAAGACATCTTCTGCCTCCATTTATCTGTTTACTTCAGTGTGTTGAATTCATGTTAAAGTGTATTTAAAGACATTTCAATATTTCAATTAGTGGAAAAAAAAATAGCAGTGGGGAATATCAATAAAGTCTAATCAACCATAACTTTCACGACCCCCATGCAGTACCTCTGCGGATCCCCTAGGGGTCGCGGACCCCTGTTGAAGACCTCCGCTTTAGATAATGGTTAGAAACATTTAATTTCCATTTTACTGCAACTGAACTATTGTGTTTAGAGAAAATTAGGATGTTCCCTAGTTTAAACTTGACAAAGACTTTAAAGGTTTTGAAATGTTTTTGAAAGACTGAAATATGTATCCTAAAGGGGGAAATTAGTGATTAGAACTAATCACAGGCAACTGAGATGTGATTTTTTTTTCTCAATTTTTTCCTGAATGTTGTTGCACATTTGGGTTGGCAAGTGAGCATAACATCTGATTCTCTGATGGAAATCAGTCGTTTATACCTGTTATTGTATGTAACACAGTAAAGCCTGTAACTGTGTCACATTTTAATCGGCTGTGTGACTTTCTTTTTAACTCACTTTTTCTTGAAATAACTTTGAAGATCTGCATCAATACCTTGACAGCAGTGGTTATTGCAGGTCTTGACATTTCTCTAAATGTTGACATTTTTTTTTTATCATTTTGATCATATGAATTTCTGTTCCCTTTGCCTCTGAAGACATTTGGTGTTTGTAGTGTGAAAAATGTTGCAAGCTCCACCCTCCATCCTCAATGATTTATTGGTTTGAAACTAGGTTTAACTACTACAGGGGCTTAACTTCAATGTGCTCCTTGATTCTGATACATAGCCTTATTTTAATTCTGGAGTCTACTGAATGTTTCTGGAAGTAGACATTCATTTAGCTGTGATTATATTCTACTTTATAGTCCCTGCTTTGCCTATAATTTGTTTCTTTATGATATTAAGACACAGATTTGTCTGACAGTATTAGATAAACCAATGTTTTTATCCACAGGAGATAAACCTTAAGATGTAGCATATGTTGAATGGTTTCACTCATCTATGTAGAACACCAGCCAAGTGTTTTATGTGCCCGGTATTTTTCGCTGTTTTGTGATTCACAACATCAACACTTGGAGAGCGAGAAAAAACACCTTCATGTTCTGCTTCTTTATCTTCTCTGCATGTGTATTTATGTGTGGGTGTGAAGCGTTGTCTGTGCTCCGAGGCACATGTTTTTTTTTCTCCCCTCTCTTTATTATTACTTGTTTTCCATTTGCTAGTGTGCAATTATGTGTGTATACAAAATGTGTCTAAGGACTTTCAAGTTTCCGCCTTGACCTCTATGGAAAGTAAGGGAGGGAGAAAAAAATTGAAGACAAAAAAATCAACAACACACAAAGCAAAAAAATGGAATGTGCTTGTTTGGGGATTACACTGGACTATATGCATGAGGAAACAGAGAGGGGAGCTTGTGCTGTCAGACAGATGAGGGGCTGACAAAGTGCTTTGGCTTTATGTGACTTTGGTCAAAGCCTCCTCTCACTCAATGGAGTGTGAAAAACTGTGGTTTTGAATAAAATTTTTGTCTCTTCAATACACTAGAATCCTTTTTGTCAAATTACATGAACAAGTTTGATTTAAACAAACAGATTACATTTTAGTACTAAGGGTCACTATAGAAATATAAAAAAAATGTTAGTACAGATGTTCTGCTATGTTTGAAATAAGATAGGTAATGCGATTTCATTTACATACATTTTTTGTTTAATAATTTGAATCAATGTGGGGTAAGGAAACGAAAATCCATTTTAAAAGAAACAGGTATTGGTTCATAAAAAGGAATCCATTATTCTATTCTGCTTTGTTTTATGACTGGAAACCATAGAAATACGGGTATATATTTGTACATATTTATCACCATAATAAAAGCGCTCCAACTGTCTACTGGTCAGCTTTATGACCTGTGTAGCTTAAACCTTCTGTATGCAAATATCTGTTCAGTATTCAGTTTAATGAAGCAAACAGTAAGCTATGTTATTGTCTATGTTTCATAAAATCACATTCATACATATTTTGTTTTACAGGGCAGCAAATCCTGTGCCTTAAGATTGTCTTTGTTGGTTCATCCATCCATGCATTGGTTTACATTTCTTATCATCCACTATAGTAACTCCAGCTTTTTTTGTTATCCCCAGCATCTAATGCCCTTCGCTTATTTTCTCTGTATCAGCTTCCAGGCACAGTTTTTGGAGCAATTTCACGGGTTATGATGGAGATTGAGGATTTTGTTAATGATAGTAGACAGGCCAAATCTCAGCTGTGAAAGCTGGACTAGAGCCTCAAAGCTCAGGTTGAAGTAGACAAGTGTGTCTGCCAAACGGGGTAATGTGCTGCTTTGGTCATATGGTGGCCTACAGATGGCAGCTTTGCCTGTTTTTTTTACCATATGTTATTCTTCAGAGGATTCCATGTCAAATGTGCATGTAGCCCATTATACAGGTAATAGTGTAGCCAAATTGTTGGTGTTGGACTCAAATGCAGTCTTTAACATTAAGAGAAAGTTGTGTTAAAGCTAATTTTTTTTTTTTCCATTATCTCCTTCTTCCCCTTTTCCTCTACACAGGAGCAGATGGTGAGGATCCAACTTCTCCAGGTAGGAAATGTTTTAAAGGATATCTATCTGTTCTTTGGTTTCTGCTTGTTTGTGGGTACCTTTGTTTGGTGCCAGTTTAATGGCCAAATATTCATGGTATCGCACACTGTAGTTTCTATCAGGGGGACTTAAAGGCAGGAAAGAGGACTCTGTGGTGAAAGATATGTTCAACGGCTGTTCGTGTATTTTTGAACCATGCATATGCATCAGTCCCCCCTCCTTCGCAAAAGTTCTCTATGCTTGAAACGACTCTGCCGGTAATTTTGTATTTCACCTTGAGAGGCAGCAAAGTGCCAGGATGCACCTAGTCAGAAGGAAATCTCCATAAGAAGAGGAGTTCTATGCCGGCGTTATCACTGCAAGTTATATTTGCAATTTGCTAGTGTGTTGCCGCTGCTGCAGCTGCAACTTACTTTGAGATTTAAAGAGTAAACAAATATAAAAAAAAGCTGCAGCAGCAAAACAGCGTAGAAGTACAGTGGGCGCTGGTTGGAAATGAACACTTCAATCACGCTCCCCGTGTTTCACAAATTGCGTGAAAAACATGTGACTACTATAGCCACTAGGTGGCAGTCTGAGTCTATTTCGGCGTCCCATGAGTCAGAATTAGATAGATCAATTGGCAAACTGGGAGGGGAGTTACGTGTTGTGAGCAGTTAGCGTAGAGGGTAGAGTGAGTGGTCTGCAGTTCTGAAGGTTGAGGATTTGGTCCCAGCTGCGGCCGAATGTTTTTCTATTTTTTTTAAATCACTTTTTTATTACATTAGACCATAGGGATTATCATTCTACATTTTTATCTTACTGTATATATAGGTCTATTATATTGCATGCCTTGTAGCCACAGTGTTTAGATATTTTTATAATTCTATTTACAGTACTTCTTCATTCTCCAGCGTGATGGTGGACCGCTAGCAAAACAGCATATGAGTTACCATTGGAACCTACGTAAATAATGTGCGCAACATGTTTGATTGGCAAACATGTAGCCAATCATTTTTTACTGTTTGTAGGCCCAACCATAGCCAGAGTTTATGGATTTTATTTTTATTTATTTATTTTTTTTGGGGGGGGGGGTAAGCACACAGTATGTGCAAGAATGCTAGCCATCAATTAAGTAATTTTAGATGAATCTGAACACTTAATTTCTGTGAAAAAATCCTCTTTCATTCATTTAAACAATGAGAGAAGAACACACAGGGGTGTAGCTTACCATCCCTCTCAGAGTTCTGGGACAGAACAGCCCATACTGCTGTGTCAGAATCATCCACCTCCAGGATAAATTAATTATTGGGATTAGGATGAGAGAGGTTTGGTGCTTAGGTGAAAGCTCAAGGAATGCTCTTTCAGCCATTGAAGTCCAGAGACTGAAACAAGAGCAGATACACCAGGATCATGACAACTACAGTAGAGAACTACAGCTCACGAAACACAAAAAGTAAAAACATAAAAACTAAGCAAATAGAATAGAATACAGCTGAGTGGAACAAAAGCACATAGTTATAAATAGGCATTGTCATAATAATGAAGTGGCCAATTAAGCTCTGCATCAGACTCAAATGTGGAAAAAAGACACAATAGGAACAAAAGTAAATTGTATAGTAAAAGAAAAAACCCTCACAGTAATGGCAAATGCTCAGAAAAAGTAATTTTTAGCAAAGTAATTATTAAAAATGTACATACTCTCTATATTTGTTCAACAGTAACGGTCTGCTTTACAAAAGCATGAAAACTGTTAAAGTAAGAGCACAGCAGAAATGTCTCTTATGGAGTTGAGAGCTGAGGTGGTTATAATCTTGTGCTCACTGACCTGTGCTCAATCTTGTGCTCACTGACCTGAAACTGGACTTGTTAGAGAATATAGGGCAGATTGACATGAAGGGCCAAATTACTTCTGATGGATTTGAGGAATTAGGTAAATTAGATCCTCTTTGAAGACTGTCATATATTTATTCTGCATATTGAGCCAGAGCCTTTGTGTGCATATATTAAACAATATTTTGTGGCACTCAGGGCAGCGTATATGTGAGCAAATATGATGTGTATTTATTAAAATGTATTAAAACTGCATTCAAACCTGTACTCTTAAAACTGTGAAAGTATGAAATGTGGATCTGCTTTCTGTGGAATCCTGGATTTTTTTTTCTATCCACTTGGTATATTTATATTCCATTAAAAATAAGAAACCCTGTTAAGACCCAGGCATTTTTGTCTTTTTATATTTTCTGTTAGACAGAGCTCCAACCTAAATTGCTATTTTTTTTTTATTATCAAGGGAGCCTTTGTAGCCAGCTTGCTATAACATTGACATTTTCATGGCATTTCTTAACTCCTGTGTCCTCTCGTTCTTCCCCGACTCCCAGCTGATCTCAAGCCTGACCTCTCCTTTTGGGTATTCATTTGACATATCCTGAACAATTTCATTCCTGCAAAATTCTTACCACAATTATCTTTAAGTGTATTTCTGAATAATTTCATTCGTGCAAAATTCTTACCACAATTATCTTTAAGTGTATTTGTTTCATGCTGTGAAATGCTGATGGACTAAAATGGTTGATTGGGAAGGAACAAATAAATTAGAGGCCAGGAACTCTCTGAAAGCATAAGTGCGGGGGAACACAGGCTGAGAGACGAGGCAATATTAGTGATGAGGTGCCAACTTTCATCGGAGGAGGTGCAGGATTGGTGCAATCAAAAGGAAAGCCATAAAACAGTGAAGTCATCATAGAAAAAAAGAGGTTGGGTTAAAATAGAATTGACACAATTAGGCCATACTAGATTTCTCTGTGATGTTGCTAGGTGCATAGTCAGATCTCAGGAGCTAACATGCAAATTTCACGCTCATGAGAGAGGTGTAATGTGTATGTTCAGATGTGTGTGCCAGTTTCCTGCTCTTTTGAATACATTTTTCATGAAGCGCTTACAAGGTTTATTTGATAGGCTGACTTATCACTATTAACTCAGTACTTTGTAAGATGGGGGAGAAAATTTAATCAAACGCAGAACAGTTTCATTTTTGGTTATGCGCTCATTTTCAATTCTGGCCTCTAAATCAGTTTGAAATAAAGCAAAATGTATTATGCAGAGCCGCTTAGAACAAAACTGGTGTTGGAAGCTGGAGAAGTACCTCTCTTCTCCAGCAGAGTCCGCCGTGGATCCTCCTGAGCAGAGCCCTCTGCACAGCTGCTGCTCGTTACCATCATCAGGAGGACCCTCTACTTAAGCTGTCTTCAGACCTTGCCTCAACGCCGCAGTGTTGAGCCAGTTGGTTAGCACCTAAGCCCTGAACCTCTGAGAACTTTGCTTGCTCTGAGATCCTGACAGGATCCAAATCTTGTCTCTGTTTTTCCAGGAAAATCTGATTCTCCTTCGTGAAGCTCTGGAAGAGCTTAACCCACCGAGCCTGCCCTCAGAGCCAAACCTGAAGACTTCCCCTGGATTCTCTTGCAGCTCTGGACCAAGAGCTGGAGATCCTAAGTCAAGGTCAGCTACCTTTCAGAAGCAAGACGCTGAAGCAGCTAACGGACTCAGCTAATCAGACTCTCTCCAGTTCCAACAACCTTCCTCTCCAAGATCCATTCAAGGACCCACAAGGTACAAACCAGAGACAATCAAAGGACAAACCGCTAAGAGCCCAGCTAACTAACTGTCTTCCTCACAGACTCCGGTGAACCCGTTTGCCCAGGACCATAACCAGAACATACTATCGTTGGATTGTCTTCAATAAACTCTGTTAACTTTTCATCTGTTTCCTGTGTCGTGGTGTTCTGCATAATTGGGTCACATTAGTGTACCGATCATGACAGAACACTGCGGCCAAACACAGGACCCAGCAGAGCACATCCGCCGTCGATTGGAGGAGCAAGATGCACAAATTTATGGACAAGCTCAGACTCTCCGTGAGTTATACTGTCTTGTGGAAACTAACAATCAAAAGCTTCAGAGCTATGCTAATTTCATGAACAGTGCTAACGCCACACCGGCAGCGCAACCTTTTCCGGGTCCAGTTCCCCCTCCGAGGTCACCAGCAGTGACGTCATCAGAGTTCCGCCTAAGCCTTCCTGAAAAATTCTCTGGTAATATGAAGGATTGCAGAGGATTTTTATTTCAGTGCAGATTATTGTTCCAGAACTCTCCAAACAGCTTTTCGACGGACTTTAAGAAAATAACCTTTATTCTCTCTCAACTAACAGGAAGAGCTTTGGAGTGGGCCCAGGCCAGATTTCCCTCAGATGAAAGTCTCAACTGCCGATACTCTGAATTCATTTCTGAATTCTCCCAGGTTTTTAATCAGGAAACTGATCAAACAATTGACTCTCGTGCTCTTTTCAGTATTAAGCAGGGAGATTCATCTGTGGCTGATTTTTCGATCAACTTCCGGGTTAAGGCAGCAGCTTCCGGATGGAATCAAAGTGCTCTGAAGGGAGCTTATTTCATGGCCTTAAATGAGAATATTAAAGACGAACTGGCAACTCTCGACGAACCAGCCTCCCTTGAGGATCTAATTAAACAAACAATTAGATTGGATAACAGAATTAGAGCCAGAAACAGCTCTAAGTTAAGAAATTCTGGGTCTCACGCCTCTACTTCTGCATCAAATATTGTGACTGTTTCTTCTCCTCCCACAGACCGACCAAAAGCCCAGTCCCTCCCTCTGCCTTTTCAGGCTTCATATTCAGGTGGTACGGAGGTCGAACCTATGCAGGTGGGACACACTCGGCTTACTCCTGAGGAGAGACAAAGACGTTTTTTGAGCAGACTTTGCATCTATTGTGGTGAAAGTGGACATTTCATTGCTTCCTGCCCGGCAAAATCAAAAGGCAGGGCCCGCCAGAGGATCTGAGGAGTCTGGCGGGCCAAACCAACTCTAAGAAATCTCCTCGATTGATGCTGCCTGCCACCTTGTTTTGTAATAATCAGAACCTCTCTTTTTCTGCCTTTATTGACTCAGGCTGTGAACGGAACCTCATAGACTCTAACCTCGTTCGACAATTGATGATTGA